TTACGTTTAATTTCAGAAAAAAATATTTTGCAATATAGAGGTAGAGAATCTATTTAGGCCAAATGTCTTTGGGCAATGCTGGAGGCCGTATGCCAACAGCGGGTCTGGCCGTAATAATGGGCAAGGACAGCCCACTGGCCAGACAGCCTAGATGCCTTTTCCATTCACACACATTCACTTTCATTCATAGTCCACACACCATTCACATACACGTATATTCTAATTAGGGAGCCCAACATCCAACATTTGCTTTATTACATGCCAGCATTTTATTTATTTATTTATTTAATCAATCAATCACTGCATATGGCCACCCATATCATAGACATGACTCTGGGTAGCTAACAAGTAAAACAGAATAAAACAACCCAAACTGCAAATAACATACTCCGCTAGCATAAAATAACATATCATCCTGTTTACAGCCTCACCGATCATTATTTAAAGTAATGACCACCGCCATCACCACAACCATCACCGCTCCTGAGAAATGTGCAGAGTACATTTTCCTCACTATCGACTAGCTAGTGCTACTGGACTGTTATATGCTTAAAATAAGAAGCCCTATTCGCCGGGAGTTCAGGCAGGTCTCCTTTTAGAAACAAAGCTCCAAATACCGCTTTCTTAAACACTCAAAGGCGTTTCCCAGCCTCGGAGAAATCGCCGTCGCCCCCACCTGCCCGAAACCACTAGCCAGCCCTGCCTCCCCGCCATCATCGTGCGGAGTGGTGGCGCCTCGGGGGGTTGCAGGCGAAACTCATAAAGTCCCCAAATCCTTCTGGGCTGTTTACGCAGGTCACGAAGTAGCGCAGTCAGTCCTTTGAACTACCCGACACACACACACGTACACACACGCGTATGAGGACGCACGGCTTGCAACCCTCGTCCGCTTCCTGTCAGCCCGGCTAGCGGCCCTCTCGGGTCGGCTGCTCAGGTGCTCTTGTTGGGCCAGGTACGTCGTCGCGGCGAGCGGAGGCCAGCGCCCGCGCCCCCACATCTCTGCCGTCCTTTCAGAGGAACTTGTTTCAAACACTCGGTGGCTTCTCCGTCCGTGACCATCACCACCATTAAAACCGTCCCGTTATTAAATCCTCCCAGGCGTTTAAATACTGTACAGTTCTGGAAGCGAGGAGGAGGACAATCTCTCTTGCAAGCCGGCCGCGCACAACGCGACATCCCGCCGCTCCGAGGATCTCTTTCGCCACTTTCCACACACAAACCCACCCACGTCGCCTCTTGTCCAATCGCAGCTCCCAAGAAATCTTCACTTGCTCCCCGAAACCGCCTAAGAGCCCCCGCTAAAGCGAGGATTAGAATTGGCCTCGGCCAGAGGAAGCGCCAGGGGGGCTCCCAGGAACCATTTCACCGAAGGAAGGAACACCCACGGTGGGAAAACAACCCGCCTCCCTCGGAAGCGCCGACCCTTCCAGCCCTTTCCCACGCTCAGGAGGAAAGCAGACAGGCGCATCTCCCCTTACCTTTATATTTATCCATCCTGGGTCTTTAGTCTTTTACTGGCGCTAGGCGGGGCAGCGAGACCTTTTCTAGAGTGGAGGGCCCGGATTTCTCCCACGCTCTCCAAACTCCGGACGGATTTCTCCCAGCGGGACGCGCCTACTTTCTCCCTGCTTGCGAATTCTTGTCCCTAACTCTCGGGTAAAAATCTCTCAGACTGCCTTGCCTCTCCCTAGCTCCGCCTTTCTATGAGGTCACAATCGTCGGACCTACAGGGACCGAAGAGCGGCCGGCTGGCTGGCGGCGTGGGAAGGGAGCGGTTGCTGAGGCGGCCTTTGCGTCCCCAAAACCAGCCTCAGCCCCGGGCAGACCCCTGCAAAGCAACCCAAGTTTGTCAGTCAGGCGGGCACATTCAAAAAAGTGGTTGGAATACGATTTTCCTCCTCGCAATGCCTACGACTGGAAAGTGGAGAAACTTTCGAGAAAGTCGGTTCAATCCTCCGGGTTGCTCAGGTGCTTCCCGAGCACGCTTTGGGTAGGTGCCCTTGGCCAGTGTCGTGCAGGGCATTTTATGAGGGTTCGTGAGTGTCGTGGCTTCCTGTTGTCTTTCGCATTTTCCCGCTGATTCTTCAGACTTTTTTTCCCCCACACCAGTAAGAAATTTTTGGAGTAAAGGGCAAAATAACTAGAGCCACCAAATTTGGGCTGCAACATTCAGAAGATCAGTAGATGGCAATAAAGATGTATGGGCTTCTGTTATATCTGCTGCCATTTTGGAGTCATCCGGATTTTTGTAGTCTGGTTTACAAAAATATAATTACACAACATCTTTCGATCAGTAGCAAAATCCTTGGATTAGTAGTAGCTGTGCTTAACAGGAAGAAAGTAGCAGCGTGTTCACTTTTAAATGGTGTGAATGCCAAAGCTACTTCCAAAGCTTTTTCCAAGAAAACAATCTTTCTGGGCAAATGAAAGTGAACATGGAAATCTGAAAAGGTTTGAGATTGGAGAGGTGGCAGACAGTTGCACTTTTGCATTTCTACAGTGACAAGGGGCTGATCTGCTCCTCCAGTGTGAAGACAACCCAATAACCATTTCCTGAGGAGGAAACACAAACTTGCCCTGAACCAGGTTCAGTCCATTGTGAATGCAGCCTCCACCTGTCTTGCTCCAGTAAAAAGAAGTGTCTTCTCACTTTCGCCATAGTTTCTTGATAGTCTTTAAGGACGGCTCCATGCAGAGCATATTATAGTAAGTAGTTCAAACATGAGATCTCGGCTGTCAGACCCTCCAGCTCCAGAAAAGGCTGCAATGGAATCTAAGCTTCAGTCCTGGCCACAGCCCCTACCAGTAGCAGCCAGTTAACCCAGGAGAATCCCAGCTGGTGCACCTGCTCCTTAGGGGAAGTGCAATGCTGTCTAGAGCCTTAGATAGAGCTGGCCTGGAGCAAGAGAGCTTCTGAAGAAACAGCAATTCTGTAATGCTAAAATTCAGCCTTTTGTCCTATCCAGGTCCCTCCAGGCACCAGGTCGTATCTCCTACTTGGCCTGGGGTAGAGATATGGAACTGGGTATCAGCATACTGATGATATCTCACTCCAGATTGACATATTATCTCCTACTGGTTCATTTATTGTAAGAATTTAAAAAGAATGGGGCCAAACACCTAGCCTGGAGGCATCCTGCAGTGGAATGACTGAGAGATCCAGCTCTCCTTCTCCCACTGAGTGAAACTACAATAAGTAGGGAAACCACTGCAAAACAGTGTCTCAGGCCCTTAACTCTCGCCAACAGTCCAGAAGGACACCATAGTTGATGGCATCCAATGCCCCTAAGAGATTAGGCAGAACCAGAATAGTAAGCCAGCATTGTATACCAGTCAGAATTTTATCAGATAGATTCCATATTAGGTGAGGTTTAAAGCCATCTTCAAAAACACTACATCCCAGTCAGACAGTTATCAGAAAGAAGGTCACTGTAATTTGGCTGTCCTTCAGATATTCCTTGCCCCAACCGCCCCAGCTTTCATTCCCCAGGCTGTGAACCTACCCTCTTTAGCCTCACTTAGAGTCTGCAAGCCACTGATCCAGAATGCATCTGCCTTCATTTATTAGTTGTCAGACCATTATCTGGTCCTGAAGAATATTTCAGTACCTGTCCAGCTTCATCATGATTACCTGATGCAGAGAAATAGATTGGATATCTATTTATATAGATAGTATATAGTATATTTCAGATCTTCAGCTGGTGTCACCAAACAGATCTCAAAGAGAACAGGGAATTAGGGAGTATTTTGTCATAATGTTTTTCGTGTGGTTTTAAAGATGCTCCAACCTGCCTCTTTTTATTAGACCATTTAGTATTGTTCTGTTCCACCAGTGTCATCTGAGCATGTACAGAGTAGCACTATTCAGAATTTAGATCTGGAAAAGAAATTCTGAAAAAAAAAGTAAAATATTGTGAAGTAGGGTGAGTTAGTCAGTTTCACTCATCCCACAGGGTAGCTCTGGGGGAAAATTTAGCTCTCATACAAAAAGCAGAATAAAAATGCAGTTGTCATAATCATAGTCACCATACAAAAGTGAGCAATGACAATCATACTAGTTTTGCTTCTTCCATGTGATATTTAAAGTTTGGAAGATCAAGGTTCTAAGTCATGTGGGAAGTCTTCAGGAATATGAAATGTAAGTAAATATATTTCAGACAAGATGGAGGATTTTGAAAATGTACTGTGTTAGTCTTTATTAACTTTACAGTAAATTTGCTAAGGATGATAATTTTCATATTACGTCTTTAGTTTCAAATGCAAACTAACCCTTTGCACTTGGTGAAAGTTTCAGTTACTCCAAAAAGAATTGGCAGCTGGTTATCTAGTGGGATGGAATACAGTTTAAAGCTATCAGTTTCTGCTGGTTGAATTTTTAATTGAAACGTAAATGACAAGAAACTAGATACATGTGGTATATCACACATTGCTATATTAGTAAGAAAAATAAATGACAGTGTTTCTGCTTAAATTGATATAGGAATATGGGAATACAGGCAGTTTTTTTAAAAAATCAAAATCTATTAGTATTCTGGAATATCTAGGTTTAAATAATAGATTGATACTGGTTTCAGCAATGAGTTGTTAGCATTTAGCTGCTACTGGTTCTCACGGTTAGAAAAAAGCTAAACGACTTCCATTCTTGATGTAAAGAAAGCTTCAACAGAGTAAATCAAATTCAGAGTCAATATATTTAGTGGTTTAGAACAGTTTTCCCAAACCTGATGGCTTCCAGATGTATTGGAGTTCGACTCCCAATATACTGAGCGTACCCTGTCCCCATTTTGTATGGAAATATATGATAATAAAGAAAATAATTTAAGGCAAATTTGACCAGATTGCTTGAAAATCTTTTTATTAGACTTATTGGAAAAGAGATAATTCAAACATATATGAAGAGCACATATTAAAAATCCCATGTTGCAGATCAGGTGAATATCCTTCCAATATTATATAACCATTCTCATGGCTACAACCTAACCATGGGGCATCTATAGCTCAGTGTGTTGATAGATTCCATATACCCAAAATGCAGTTGAGAAAAACATGCATGAAAAGTGATAAATGCTGTGAAATTATGTTGACGGTCCTATGAATTTCAAATCAAATTGTAACAGTAATAGAACAGGTCTAAACCATATAAGTTAATATTCCACCTTTCAAATTATGCTTCCAACTATAGAATGTTTGCAACCACATCTTATTAAATATTCTTTGAGGTGTCCAATTTGATCTCCATTTTGAGTTTAAAAGAAGTTTTTTTTTTTTACTGTTTTTAAAACCACCTGTAGAATTTGATACCTAAGATCACATACCATACAACTTACAATGAATTTGACCTTCCATTTAGAAAGTCTCAAAATTCATCATATTCTGTGCTATTGCCCCACACAGACTCATGCTTGCCAATCCCACCTCTCATATTTAAGGACTTTTGATTTCACAAGGCATTTTTTTTTATCCCTTAATGTTACCTGAAACTTATCCTCCAAATCAGATGACTCAATGTGCCTCACATTGCTCCCAATAATTTTATCTCAAGGTAAGGGTGCCCCTGATAAGAATGTAAGATCTTCTCTTAGAGTTTCCTGTGAGATCAGTGGTGTTTAGCTTGAAACCAGACAAAGAAGTGAGTTGTGAAGAGTGCCAAGGGACACAAAAAGGAAATGAAATGCCATATTGAATTGTGGGCTGAATCAGTTCCCTGTCAGCCTAGGCCATTTTGGATAATGCCTCTGTGTAAATCAGTGTTCTCAACCTGGGAACTTTAAGATGTGTGGACTTCAACTTCTAGAATTCCCCAGCCAGCCATGCTGGTTGGGGAATTCTGGGAGTTGAAGACCACACATCTTAAAGTTCTCAAGGTTGAGAAACACTGGTGTAGACTGAACTGATTGGAAGAGATGGTGACTTTACTTTTTACAATGGAGCACTGAGACTTCTAGTGACAGTCTTCAATCTCACAGAGAGTTTAGGAGCAGAAGTCCTAATGCTACATAAATTACTATTGGATCATGCAGAAAAGTGATTTCACAGAAGCATGTTTTTTTTTTTCTGAATAATCCCAAATGTAAATGTTTTTTGTTTTTTCCCAGTTCCAATTTGGTCCAGCCAAAGTCAATAACCTTCTAAGTCTTTCAAATCACAGCTGCATTTGCAGGGAAAATAATATTTTCTGAATCTCTGATATAAATGTGTGTGGGGAAAGGGAATATATGTACCGTATCATCAATTAATAGGTAGATTCAAAAGTCTTCTGTCACAAATGTGACACTGAACAGTGTGTTTGTGGAAATAGCTTCTGCTTAGCGCATCTGTCGCAAATGGCTCCATTTCTTTCTCATAGCCTTCCTGCCCTCCTTTTATGTACACATAAGAAGTAAATTTTGTAAACACAAAATTTCGTTCCTCATTTTCCCATGCAGCCTAACAGTTTCCGTTGTTGCTTGCTAATACCATTAGCAATAGGTTAATTGCTGGAAATAGGACATATTCTGCCCCTCTTAATTAATGGTAATATGTTTCCTTCTTTGTTCTTTCAGAGAAATTGAGGCAATTTCTTTCCTCCACCCCACCAAAACAAATAACAAGAAACCAACCCAACCAAACAAAACTCAGCCATACATTCTATAATCCAAATTGCTGTTCAA